CAGCCTCAGCAAAAGTGAGGTGCTAAGCAACTCAGTGAGACCCTATCTCTAAATAAAATACAAAACAGGACTGGGGATGTGCCTAAGTGGTTGAGTGCCCTTGAGTTCAATCCCAGGTACCCCCCAAAAATAAAAAAAATAACTACTGTAAGTGTAGAGAACATGTAAGATTTAAAAAATCTGTTGGAATCTCTTCTTTGTTTATAAATGTTTTGATGTCTCTATTAAGAACAGAGACAATCCTGTAGTTTGGTGTCTTGAATAAGATTTTTAAAAATGATCCTTATGAATTTTATGATGTTGCCTTTGCTTTGAATGTCTGCTCTAAGGTATGYAACAGTTAATTTTTAGAACATCCCTACCTTAGTCAGCTAGTAAGGTGGAATAGTATCAACCCTTCCTCAGCCACCCCAAGGAAACCATTTCTGGGGTGCTGGAATGCCCAGATAGTTAAAGAGCTTCATATTGACATGGAAGGTAAGAGTAATAAGGGCTATTTCCAGATATGGTTTATATGTTAGATAGAATAAAGGGATTGAAAAGCTTTTTGGCCACGCTTTATCTTGGTACTTTATAATTTCTAACTAATTGTGATTAAATAACCCAAATAAGCTCTGTCCCAGAAAGGAAAGGCATTGCTACTTCTGGCAGAAGTCAGACAACAGACAGACTTCAAACCATACACTTTTTCCTGCAGTCCCTTACAAAGGCTGCAAAAGCACTCTAATGATTTCCCTTTTTGTGCAGATACTACAAGAGTTGTTGCTATAGTATCAGAAAATAACATAGCATTTTAAAAGATGCATAACACCCTCAGTCATTAGAGATATACAATTAAAAACCATGAGATACTATTTCCTACCCACTATTATAGTTATAAGAGCTATGAAAGACAACAGTCACACTGTAAACAAAAAATACATTGTAATCCTAATTTTTGTGGATATAAAATAAAAATTTGAAAAGTTTCAAGATAGAGGTTTCAAGACAGAATGCCCAAACTGCTGCTTTTCTTTGATTGACATTGGTCTGTACTATAAAAGTTAATGTATTATATGTTAGGGAGAGGTACTTTGATATTTGTTTTTTTATACTATATATATATATATACTATATATATTTTTTTTGCAAAAGTATATGAACATTGCTTCTGAGGCATTTTATTTTCAGTAGAAACTAATATTTTCCTTCATATGCACAACACTTATTTTCATAAGTGAACTTAATTGTCATAATTGTGTAAACTATCCAAGGGGAAGTCTAGTTAACATTTTTGAGTGACAGATACATCACTTACATTACTTAGTTTAATTCTCATGATACCATGAAGTWGGCATTACTAGCATTACATTAAAAAAAAGTAAACAAAACTAGAGACTTAGAAAAGTTAACTTGTACTGTTAGTAAATAAAATACTGGTGAGTGAACTCCACACAACAGTCAGTTGGTCTCAATGCCTATGATAAATCTGATAGAGTATGCTGCCTCTTAAGAGATATATCTCCAGAATGCAAATTAAACTAAAGAATACATTTAATCACTTACAGAAATGTATAAGACAGAGTTTATAATTGTGGCTTGGATATTAGTCTCTGTTTTTTTTCCACAGACTRTTCTCTTTCTCTGAATGTATGATCTTTGTAAACAAGTCAACTTGTTTGTTAACTGCTGAATGAATTACTTATTGCTATGTATTTCTTGGCATTCTAGTGGGTGAAACTCAGCTATCTAAATGTTTTACATTCTTACTTTCCAAAAAGTATATCTGTCAAGAACGAATGATTCCTCATTCCCTTCTAGGTTTGTAGTCTTAAACAGTCTCTGTTACTGTATCTTGACCTGGGAGAGGGAGTGGGAAATAGAGTTGAGGCACTCACCATAATCTCAATATAACTACAGGGTTTTTTGAAAAGTTTTTTTTCCTATAAATTTTAAGGCTAGATAAGTACTATGATTATATGACTAATCCAAAAAGTCAATGATGCAATTCATGGTGATGGAGTAGAGATCTGAGAGTCCTCRGATTTCTAAAGAATCCCATGCTCTTTGTATTCAGCTCTTCCTGAGTCTGAGTTACAACTTAACCATTTCTTAGTCCATTGAACCAAAGCAGTTGACGTGCTGTAACTTAATTTTAAAATTGATAAGTAATAACACATTTCCAAGTTATTGTGAACATTTACTAATAACATTTGTAAAGTTCCTTACATTGTACCTAGATATAATATCCCCACAAAATATTAAAATCTTCTAAAAACTGATTTTTAAATCTAGTTGAATATGATATCCACTTTTCTAATCCACCCTTTGTCCCCTCCTCCCATGCATAAAAAGAGAGGAAGAATGAGAAAGACCAGAACTTATATCTTAGTTTAATAGTACTCTAAAAAGAATAAAGGCACATATGTTATTATAACCAAATGGAAGTGAAGTGTTACCTAACATACTAGTTATATCATGCAGCTTTTAGTTATTATAGGTAATAACTATGAAGTACTGGAGCTAATTTTAGCTACTAAATAATTACCTCTTCTGGTAACAAGTAAATAGAATATGAGTATTGTTGAAATGATTCATTAAAAATCTGGCAAGTTACCCAAAGATAGCAGGTTTTTTGTAAGGGTTTTGTGGTACTACTTCATGTAAAGCACAATTTAACAGTGCCTTGTGTTTAAAATAATGAATGAGAAAACCCAGTAACCTAATTGTATTTTTTTCCCAAGCAGATCCATTAATTCATTTCAGGCGTATTTTAAGTAGAATGCTTGTTTCAAAGGATAATTTCGGGTTTATTTTTGTGCAAGCAAGCTTGAATGCTGTCTTCTATATAGCATAGTGTCAGAATTAAGAATTGTCATTCAAAATGAATTTTATAAAAATTGTCATTTTAGCTTAGTATCCTCTTTGTATTTAGTTCTTGTTGGATGACTGAGGAAACTTGGCCCACTTGTAATTAATTACTTAATGACTTCATTAATGTGCCTTACTGTCATAATAGATTTTTTTATTTTAAGGAAAAATTAATTTCAGAGTTATTTTTGATGAAAGCTTCATTCTGTTTCTTGATTCAGTGATTTAATTTTTTTGTTTTAATTAGTTATATATGACAGAATCATTTATGCACTTTGATATATCATACATAGATGGGATATAATTTCTCACTTTTCTGATTATACATGTTGTAGAATCATATTGGTCATGCAGAGTGTATGTGTGTGTGTGTGTGTGTGTGTGTGTGTGTGTATATATATGTGTATATATATATATATATATATATATGGTTTGTTTCATTCTAATATCCTTCCTATACCTACGTCCCCTTTCCTTCCCTCCCTTCACTCTCCTCTACCTAATCTAAGGTAACTCTGTTCTTCCCTAGTGCCCCTCCCATTGTGAATTAGCATTCACAATTTTATTTGTTCTATTTGTATATTATCCCCTCTATAAACCTAAATTGACTATTATTAATTTCATGAGATTCATATTTTTCATATTAAGCTTAATTATTTTCCTGATATATCTGTATATTTTCTCATGTGTGTGTCTAAGATAGATTAAGTATTATTTGTGGTCCTTTGAAATTTTTTGTGCATATAGACCTACTTAGAATACAAAATTAAAGTCTCAGGTATTATTRCTTGTACAGAATACTCATTTGTTTTTCAGTTGCATTTTACAAATTCAGATGGTAGTAATGATTTCTCAGAATCATGTTATGATTTGTATCACAGTTTAGATTTGCTTTTTAAGGAAAAACCACATCTTTCATGTGACTTTTATTACTCTTTTGAAAACTTAAATGAAAARTAACATAACAATTAAAAACAAGAAAAACAGACTATCTTAAATAGACAAGGACTATTTATTCACTGTTAAAAAGTGCTTTAAATGTTTCAAACCAAAACAACTTTGAAAGACATAAATCTGTTTTAAAATGTAGAATATCAAAATGAGTTTATGTTTAAAGGGTGTTTTGATGTTTCTACCTACAAAATCTGAAAAAAAAAWTTTATTTGCTGCATTATCTTAATGAGAAGTATAAGTGAATAGTAATATTTAGTTTTGTATTTATATCAGAGCATTGATTCAGAACAGTATATGGCTTATCTTTATTCGAGATATTGAAGGCTATAWGTCTAATTTTCTTAGAAAGCTGTATTCAGACTCCAAGCACTTAGTCCGTGATAACTGCCCAATAGTTCTATGCTTTTTTATTAGCATATTATAATAAAAGTAGATACTTGGGCTGCACGAAGTTGCTCAMGCCTGTAAATCCCAACAGCTTTGCAGGCTGAGGCAGGAGGATCACAAATTCAAAGCCAACCTCAGCAGTGGTGAGGCACTAAGCAACTCAGTGAGATTCTGTCTGTAAATAAAATACACAAAAGGCTGGGGATGTGGCTCAGTGATTAAGTGCCCTTGAGTTCAATCCTGGCACCTCCACCCCCCAAATGTTGATACTTGTGCTATGACATCATATTGTTGGGATGACTTCATAGATTAATTTTGTGAAACTGGTTAAATCTTGGGACAAGAACTATTAATAAGTCTTTCAGTCTTCTCCACAGTGCTTTACTAGAAATAAATAATATAGTATAATAGTTGCTCATTAAGCAAACAGTTTTTCTCAATTACAATCTGATCACTTTTGTGGCTACAAGATAATAATCATTTTAGGGAAATATTCTTCCAAATTTAATTTTGGAAAAAGATATTGTATCACTTTCTGATTAACTTTCTAATTTAGAGTATTTTTTCCTAAATTAGATTACTGAACTTGTTTACTGAACTTGGGAGCTAAAAAATATATTTAGGCTGATTGGAGAAAGGTGAATTCACTGTCTTGGGTTCCTCCACCTCCATTTTAAGCATATTTCCACTTGTTTCCTCTAGTAACTACTTCAGTGCTTCTTGGCAAATAAATTTTATCAGCTGTTTTCCTTCTTGATATATTATCTGTATCAGAGTCACAATCATAATTCAGTTATTTTTCCTTTTAGCATCAGAGGCTCCTTGAAATGCTAGATACAGAGAAAGATCTGTTTAAAGAAAAAATAAAGGAAGCTTTGATTCAGCAATCTCAAGAACAGAAGGTAATATTTTAAGTGTGCTCAGAGTATGGAAAGAATGYATTTTATTACTTCAAATAATTCATTTAGGTTCTTTCTCACTATCATCATTTACAGGAAATACTAGAAAAATGTTTGGAGGAAGAAAGGCAAAAAAATAAAGAGGCATTGGTGTCTGCTGCAAAGGTATTTTCATCTGTGATAATGGGTTTCTTTTCTCTATAAATAAGTGGAGTTGAAAACTATTTTCATTAATTTTTAAGTCTACTTATTATAATGTTTCATTCAAAAAATGTTTCTTTCCTCTTAAACTCGGGATATGACTTTTTACATTTTTGTTAAATTCATATTACATAAGATCCTGATGGCACCAAAATGCTTTTAAATATATGTTGTTAATTACATATTAAAATGAACATATATGTTAGGACACRAATGTCCACCTGGTAGGATACAGAGCATGTATCGGTGTTTGTGTGGGTTAATATACATGTATATTAACAAATGTGTTTATAATAGTAACTTTGAAGTTTTGGATTTTAAATTAAATTTAGTTAATAGATACTGAATGACTCTTACGTGCATGTGCATACTACTATGCCAAAGTTGCAAATCTAAAGATGACTGATTTTTGTCATAAAGAATTTTAACCCATTAAGAAAAAATATATTACTTATATGCTAATAAGGCAAGGAGGAATTAATTAAACTATGGGGAACATGAAGATATGGTATGTTCATGTCATAGAAGTTTTTAAACAATAAATTACTTTTGAAATGTCCCTTTAAAGGGTGGCTAGCATCCTGAACTGAGTTTGATTTCATAAATATGGAAGACATGTTGAATTTTTTTTAGCACAAGTATGACATTAATTTGGGGAAAATTTGGGAAAACACAAGCTTGAAAGTAGGGAAGGAATTAATGGAGTACATTTAAAGTCAGGGTTAGARAGAGTGTTAAAAATAGACTAATAGTAGATTGGAAATTAAGGAAATAGACTAATTCTAGAAAGAGAAGATAAAAATCAACATACTTTTGGTGTGGATAACAAAGACAACCAGGTTCTAAACTCCCAGAGCATGGATTAGAGAACAAAATAGAAAGCTCTATCTTTGAAATGGACTGTGAAGTAGTGAAAATTAAAATTAAAATCTGGAAAATTTGAATCTGTTTTCCAGTACTTCAAGACTTTTATGATTAGATAGATAATAATATTAACAAATTTCCTTTTATATATAAAGAAATGTGTCRATCAATATTTTCTAAGTAACACATTTGAAAATCATGTGTTGATGAAGAATTCATTCAAAGTATAAGAAAGAATTGTAATATAACAGTATGAAAAAATTTTGGTATGAAATAATCAAGAACATCTACAGTTACCTAAACTAACTAAATATTTCTCCTCCTGGCTTTTTAACCATCTATTTTTACAAGACTGAATTTTCCTTATGTACTTTAACCAAAACCTGTCATTACAGATTTAATACAGAAGGAAGGTAGGAGAATCTWGCAGTCTTCTACTAAGTCAGATATTAAAAGAAGTTTACAAACAACATTCTTCTCACTTTTTAAATTTTGGAAACTATAGTTTTTAATTTTAAATGAATTTCAATATCTATATCTATGTATATTTAGATATCCAGATATATAGATATATCTCCAGCATAAACAAAACCTCTTGATACACTCAATAACTTTTCAGTTATTGAGTAAAGGAGTTTTAAGACCAGTTTGAACTCTGCTACTCTAAACAAAGGCTTGACTTCTTTGAAGTATACAAATGCCTGGGAAATAAGTAGGGATTTTAATAAGTAGGAATAAAAAAGAACAATATGATTTTATGTAACTATTTAATAAGAATAAAAATAGCAAGTGAGAATTAAACTGTATAAGATCAAATTATGTTTTGGGTCAACCAGGTCAGTCATGGAAATATTTTTGTTTTGGTCATTATTTGTTTGGAAGCTTGAGAAAGAAGCAATGAAGGAGATAGTTATGAAAGCAGTAGAAGAAGAACGAAAAAATTTGGAAAAAGCCCATGCTGAAGAAAGGGAATTATGGAAGACAGAACATGCAAAAGATCAAGAAAAAGTATCCCAGGCAATTCAAACAGCTATACAAGAACAAAGAAAAATAAGTCAGGTTAGTAAAATAAACTTTTTGAAAACATTTTTTTTTCTTATTTTTCTCTAAATAAAGTAGCCTTTCTATTATTTTGTCTTACTTGAAATTACCTTAGTAGACTCAGCAGTGTTTAGTGTTTTTTGATATTAATGTTTCAAACTCTAGTAATTTTTAATATTTTAATGTTCCTTTTCTTTCTTCAATTAAACATTTTGTAGTGTATTTTATCTTTTACTCTATTTTCACAAGTCGGATCTACCTTTATATTGCAACTATAGTAAAATTCTAAGATTTTTTATTTTTGTTCTTTTTTTCCTCTCACACACATAATCAATACAAAGTAATATATTTATATAGAAACCAGTTTGATTCAAATAATTTATGTCTAATTGTACATATATGTACCTTTAATTGGTAACAATAGTTAATAAAACCTCAAAAATATACTCTGTGTCTCATAAAGGACATACACAGATACAAGCATGTCCTATATACAAAGTAACATTTTTAACCCTTGTGTGAACAAGTAAAAACCTGACCTAAATTTCATTTTCCATAATTGWATTTGTATGGTTCTATTCTACTTCCATTTAGTCTTTTCTTTGTGTGGGCAGAGATACTTGAACAAATCATCCCTTAAGCAAATATATAAAAGCAAACGATAACTTTCATGGATGCCTTACTTTTGTAGCATTATATTGTTATAAATGTATAAATATGTTGTTATAAATGTAGCCAAAGTGCTTTACCCTTTCAAAACAATCAACCTAATAAATTTTTTAAGACTCGTCTTCATGAAGCCCTAAAAATTTCATGTTTCCAATATCCARGACTATGTTAGATTTTTTTTTAAGGATGCCAGTTAAATTCATTCTTAAGAACACATGCTTACCCTATCTGTAAGTTCTGTAGGTTATATTTATAGTGAGATAACAATAGTGTAATCACAGATCTTTTCGTTTGTTTATTTTTCATTAAATTAATAATTACCTTCTGATTCTTACTGTAACTTCTTGTTAGTATCAGTGAATATATATTGAGTATCCAGTTGTTCATCTTTTCAGTTTGAAACTTCATGCCAGCAAGGGAAAGATTATTGTTTATTTTTCCTTATTTGGTAGAGTTTATCTAAAATATATATTTTGGACTATAGTTCACTTCTCCAACCTCGCATAGATGTAGGCSATTGTTCACCATGAAATCGAATAAGAGGGCATGAGTGAATCAGCACATATTCATCATTCAAATAAAAATACTTGTGTAAAGAGCATACTTCTCCTTTGGTTTGTCAGCAGTCTGCAAGACAAACTGTAATATATATAATAAACTTTAAAATCTGTCCCATGTAGTTTCAGAGTATTGTGAAGATAATCCAAGCATGTTACAATACATTGTGTTTATTTTCTTAGAAATGCTTGAAGGTTTTGCTAGAGATGTGTGTGTGTGTGTGTGTGTGTGTGTGTGTGTGTTTTGTATTTGTGTTTAATTGCCATGTAGCTAAAAGAATTGCACAGGAAATATCTATCAGAAAGAACAATGTTGTTGGGGGGCTAAGCTATAGCTCACTGGTAGAGCACTTACCTAGCATGTATGAGGCACTGGGTTTGATCCTTAGCACCACATAAAAATGAAACAAATAAAATAAAAGCATGCTGTCCATCTACAACTATAAAAAATTAATAAAAATAAAGAATTATTGTTAAAAAAGAAAGAACAATATTGTAACTTTAAGGTTTTCAAAAGTAAAGTGGTATATYAAATGCAGTCAAAATCATCTGTAAATAGATTCTTATTTTCATATGATTTTACTACAACCAAACAACTGTCATTCCAATAGCCCTTTAAAACTTCATGGTCCCATCCTAGGAAATTGACAAATAAATAAATTCCTTTTTTTCTTGGGAGCCAGCTGAACCTCAAATCTGTTCTATTTGAACCAACAGGATAATCAAGTAAGTGGCTGTGGTCAAATTTATTCTTTGCTGTTCTACATAATTGAAGTGATTACCTGCTAAATTCCAGGCACAGTTCTTATTTCTGAAATGGCAAAGAAATTTTCAAGATTACCATCTTGTAAAGAAGATGGATAGGAAACTAATAAATATATAACATAATGCCAAGCGACTATTAGTGTCCTGAAAATAAAGCTGTATAAGTAGCTAGAGAGTGAGGGTAGTCAGGTGAGAGCTCTTTATGGAGCCAGCATTTAAACTGAGACCCGCATAAGTTGAAGAATTCACCTGTGGATGGCTAGGCAAAGAGTGTGTCAGGCAGGAGGAAAGTCTTCGAGGCACAGCAAAGCTTCAGAGGCAGAAAGATATTTGGTGTAATTAAAACTGTATAGTATTGTTTTGCGTATATATAGTCAAAAGGACTAATGAAACAGGATAGAATTCAGAAATTATGCAACTTTTCTATAAGTTCTGTAAGATTCTGATAGTCTTTGAAAGAAAACTCTAAGCAGGACTGCTGGAATGGTGAAATTAGAACCTCCACAAATTAGCTTTTTCATAAAGGTAGTGAAAACACTAGCAAMATTTTTCAAAAGAAACTTTTTTAGCACTCTGGATACTAACCAAAGACTTTTAACAATCCAAGCATTTATTCAAGACAAATGATTAAATTGTATTAAGAACAGTCAACCTTGTGAAGTTTTAACTTGCTCTATTCCCATCCTCCTCTCCCCAGCTGCAAAAAAGCTTGAAAATCTTATAACTAGACAGCCACACTGTAGGGCAAGCCCAAAGTGGATATAGTTAGGCTTCCTTGATGCGACTTCAAGTGGGCTGTGATTTTAGTATGTAGCCAAGGTCCTGAACACCCTGATTTGGCATATGTATTTGTCGTCATAAACATTCGCTTGTGAGCATGCACCCACTTAAGTAACCTGTTGGCAATGTGCCTTCTCCGCCTGAACTGCATATAAAAATGGCGAATGGTAATTGAGGAGAAAGCTAAATGGAAGTGGCTGGGGCAAAAATGAAGCTAATGCTACAGGCTAGGCGTTGCTGCCACCTCTAAATAACAAATGTCTACTCTCCCAACTGTGTCTTGCATCTTCTTCAAGCTGCTGGGATCCTGAATCTGTTTTCCTGAGTCTGAGTCCCCACCTGACACACACTGTGAAAACCCATGATATAGAAGCCACTGAAGGAGTAAGATAAAATTTGAAACTAAACAGGAGGCATGTCCCTAGATATTTGTTACTATTTGACCTGATAGCTTCCTGCCAAGTCCTGACTTTCAGGGCTTTCAGATAAACAAACTGTTTATCTTTTCAGCTGCCTTGGACTGAAATATTAGTTGGGGCAAACAAGAGAATGGCAATATACAAACAAACAAGAAGAAAATGTTTACCGTAGTTGGTTTTAAACAGCTCTGACTTTGGGGGCTGGGCCTGTAAGTCATTGGTTTTGCATTTGCTACCTTGCACAAGGCCTGAATTCAGTCCTCAGCACCACCAAAAAAAAAAAAAAGTAACAAAACAAAACCTCTGACTTTTTAAGTTACTCCTGGCGTTCTTAAAGGTCACATACCTGCCCTAAGAAGACCTGAAAAGACTCTAATCTCTAGCTGACCTTGAATTGTACACAAGCAGAAAAGTGAAGGCTATGGTAGAATTGTAAACTGGCAGCATTGATATTGTGTCCCACACCTGAGCCCCTTGAAAAAGGATGGAAGACTTTTCAATTCAAGGTATTTAAGGAAATCTCTGTCCAATCATTAGAAGACTACTAAATAACTCCTGTAAGAGACTTCAGAAGCTGTATGTGACAGTACACACAGATTTAGTCTAAAAAAGTTACTACATTAAATGTTCCTAAATAAATAGCAACAATAATCATATTTAAAAGCAGCAACAACAATTTTGGAGGGATTTCTCATGTTGCTACTTATTACATTATTTTAAATGTCCAGTTCTTATAAAAAGAAAAAGAACTATTAGATTTAAAAATCAGGAAAATATTATCCATACATAGGATAAAGAAATGTAGCAAAGTTAAAACTACTTAGGTATTGGACTTAATAGACAAAGTCTTTAAATGTGCCATTAGAATTCTATTCAAAGAACTAAAGAAAACCATGCCTCTAGATTTATAATATCTCATATATTTTGAGTATTGTAGGCTCATTGAAATTAGCATCACAATTTTTTGAAGGACTACTTCATTAATTTTTAAAAAGAGTGTTCATTTTGCTGTAAATGCAAGGGGGAATACATAGGTGCACATTTACTTCTTATCCTAACTGTTACCTGTGAGTCCATACCATTTTGTTGGGGAAATAAATTCTCTGTTTCGAGCTCTCCACATTTATAATTCTCTTACAGCCTATTCAATTCATGTACTTATTTATTCACTAATTTGCATACTCATCTGAGAGTTGCAAGTTTCTCATCCATATTTATACACAGGAGACCCTAGTATAGGGTCTTCAGGAGGTAATTTTGCTGTGTATTTTTTGTAATATAAAATCATCAGCAGATAAATCCTATTAAAATTCCTCAGCAGGTGTTATTATATCTACAACTTATTGTGATTCATTACTTCTGGAAAGTTTGATCCTACTATATTTTCATACATTAGCTCTTCCTGGGCCACCAATTATTTATTTATATACATAAATTTTCACTGTTTTCTCTAAGATACTTAATAATTTAAGTATTATTAATCACTTGTTAATTTAAAATTGATTTTTCTGTCATGCTTATGGCTAATGTCTTCTACTTTCCAACTCATTAATTCACTCTCTAGTTTGCTTTTTAAATCTATTTATTGTATTCTTAATTTTAGTTAATTAAACTTCTGAATAATTTTTTGTCGCATTTTTAAAATTTTTTTGTTTTTAATGAAATATGTTACTTTGTTTTCTTCCACTGCTTAATGTCAGAATAGGCAAATGTCATCAAGGTAAATAGACTTTGAATGGCTGGGWGCTATAATCTGAGTATTTGTGTCCTCTCAGAGTTAATGTGTTGTGATTCTAATTCTCTTTTATTGAAGGTGATTAGGTTATGA